GGTTAAGAACATTTATCGAATGTCCTATGCTTAACACCCGTGTCAATAGATTGGCCAATAACTTCCGTATAGAACTAATGAATATGTTTTTATTATTATTATGCTCCATATATTTAATTTGACCTTAAGCCTTATTTCTTCCCACACATACCTCACAAATGTCTACAAACAGAACACAGCAGCATAAGGGATGTCAGCCATAAGCATCGTTATGCTTGCAAGAACGATTTTAAAAAAATAATTAAAGCCCCACCTTCCTGTTTTTCCTTCAAACTGTTTTCTACGTCCTTGCACTTAGACTCAACAGCCTTAAGTTCTAGTGAGAAATTCAAAACCATAAGTTAATAGAAGAATTAGTGTCACAACACTAGTACAAGCTTGTCCACCCAACAAATTGCCGCGAATCAGTGGAATAATAAAGTGTAGAGTGCGAGGTGAACAGAGCACTATTGTAACTAAATGAAGAAAGTAAAAAAGCATGCATAAAATAAGTATAATTTATAGATTTAGGCCAGCCTAAAAGCGTAGCTCCTGGACCGGGTTGTTCAGAGCCTGAGTAAGCTAACCCAGGAAAAGGTAGAGTTTTGATCTGAGTTTTCAACTTTGCAGTGAGGTTTTCTGTAGATTGTTTGGCCTTCTTTTTTGAGTTTTAATAATCACCATATACACAAAACAAAGCAACAAAAAACATTTGTATGGAAGAAAAAGTTATAATTCGGTTATCTTTTAATCCTGGCTTAGCATTAACTGCCTTCCGAACAATCCTGCCCTGTTTTCAATAAATTAACCTGACATGAGCCCGCAATCCAATCGAAAACCAGCACTTGGTCAGCGGTCAGCTTCAAAAAACCGCGTGACCTCGATGATCTGTAAACTTGAGCCCGCGATATGGTCACATGATACTGGTCAGCGGATACTTTGTTTTGACAGATGTCAATTGATCATAACATGGATGTCCAATATCAAAGAACTTCACGGTAAAGCAAGGGCGCATACCTCTGTCAACCTGTTATTTGGAGTATGGCCGCCATGTTGCGCGACTCCGTCGTCGTCGCCGTCGTGCGTACGCGCCCACGAGCAATACCGCTAGCCATGATAACCGTGAGAAAATCAACTCATTGGTTTCCTTTTCTTTCCTATATGAGTATGGGGCTCCGCTTGGCGGCCCTTCGGGCCGCCGGAGCTCGACTATGATATTTGTTCTCAGGACACAGCCTATGCTGGCTTACGTCGTTCCCCATTTAGGAAGTTCAATATTCTTTCATTAGTTATGAAGATAGGCCTGATTTCGCAATTAAACTCCGGCTTCGCTTGCCATGAATTTATTAAATTCCTATACTACGAGCATCTCCTCTCTTTTTTTAGTCTTGCGATTTTAGATTCGAGCGGCAGTTTTTCTTTCAAGTTTTCTTTCGCTCCATGCTTGACAGAAATACTTGTTAAAAATGCTTCTTTCAAGACGTTATGGCTTAACGTAGCACTTCATATGTGAGTATGATTTTAAGCTATAAAATTAGCATATGTCGTAGACTTCTTAGGCAATGTTATAATACACTTAAGTACCTTCTCCTTTGAAAAATGCAAGCCAAAAATGATTGTTCACGAACTCTTGATATGCGCCTGGTCCCCAAAGTAATTGCCTGATTTCTTTACACGCTCAATAAAAAACAGCTCTCAAATACCTAATTCTAATCAATGCGCACAAACTACTCCCTATTGCAGACCAATGCTGCACATACCTTTAAGGCTTACATAAGTGAGTACTCCACCCACCCAGGGAAAGCAGACAAACTAAAAACAAACATCTTACATACTGTTGAAGTGAAAATACACCCCAGAAATTTCTCAAACAATGAGGTTCCGGATTTAAACGAAAACACTAGCGGATCGACAAATTTGGCGAAAACAAAAAGCACGGGTCGGCGGGTTTACATTACCCCTATTCACCACCCTCTGTATACACAGCACAGGGAATATTGAGTGTTTGCATCTTGCTCCCGATGCAACTCGGCTCTCTGGCATTTTAGTTTTTTTTTCCGGATTTGGTTGGTAAACTCGAATTGATCGAACTCAACTTGTTTACTTGCAATCTCAAATTATGAGTTCCTTCACTTACGTTCCACCTGTTTTATAACGGACAAGATCTTCTCAAACTCAATAATAATATAGCCGTAACTCAAAAAAGATTCCGACAACCTAGTTTTTTGTTACTGAATTTTGATAAGCAAGAGCTGACTTTTGCTAAGTTTGAGAAGCATAGC